CCCCCCTCCCCTCGCCTCCACCTCACACACCCAACCCTCCCCCCGGGCCTAAAAGAAGACAGAACGAGGGAGAGAAGAGACACAGAGAGAGAGAGAAATTCAGGAGGATAAAGCTTTGAAGTGGCTTTCCATCGCAGCGAGTCTGCCGGCCGTCTCCCCGAGACGTGTCACCTTTGCCGAGAGGGAATAGGAAAATCACGTTTCGAATGGTAATGATAACATACTAATCACTTGAGCTCTTTGAAGAACCCAGGGAGTGCGCTACTCTGTCAGTATCCCTGGCTGCCTCATGCTCCCAGGCACACACAGGCACTGCAGCCGTGGTCTAGGTGTATTAGCTTAAGCGTTGCATGTCAGTGCGTCCCCTGCATCGCAGCTGATCCATAGGGGCTCATTATAGCCCAAGCTTGGTATCCGTTTTCTCCCACATGTATACTGACACCATATCTGTTGGTGCCACTACCACTTCCACGCCACCTCCAAACCCCTTCTACCACAACCTTTACCAAAACCACACCACACCTTGCATCCAGCGCCGCTCGCCGTCTACTTATCAGTTTCCTACCGCAAGACCATTTTATTACTCAACCACCCAACCCGTTCTCCTATCGCGCCATCCCTCCCCTGCCCTCCCTTTAACTATTAAAAAGTATCTCTGCAATTTTAAATGACATCTGTCAGCGGCACAAAGAAAAAGGAAACGAGGGAAAGAAAAGAGTTCAGAGGGAGTTTTCTCCTCCCTGCTCTTTTCCCATCCCTCTTGTTGTCAAAGTTTGAAAAGTGTGTCGTTGACTTTTTTTTTTCTTCCCCTCCACATTTTTCATTTCCTCTGAGTGATTAGCTGGTACACATTTTGACAGCCAAACCAAAACTAGAGATTTCACTTCTTTCCCTGTCCCCTTCACTCATGTGATGGGCGTGAAACCCTTGTCAGATGGGCGGCTGTCATTCATTGGGTTGTTTTCCTGTGTCAGATGTGTTAAATCTGATCAGTTTCTTAAGGTTGCGCATTAGAAAAGCCGTCACAACCAACAGCATTCAAGTAAACATTTAAGTCTTCCATGTTTATGCTGTTTGATTGCAGTGTGGGTTTAATGAAAGCTCGGTCTTATGTTGGTTTTGCACATGAAGTGTCTCAGTTCAGTGGATGATGAGGGGTTGTTTTTAGTATGTATGTAAGTGCATCTTTATATGTTATAGGTGGCTGGTCACTTTGGACTCAGCAGACATTTTGTATGTAAACAAATCCATAAGGTTAATAATTTTTAGAGCTTGGCAATTCAGTTTGTAAGGCCACTACAACAGGTTTTAAAAGGCAGCTCACAACAGTCACCAGTTACAGACTTTTTAACTAACTTTATCTAAGTTTAATTAACTGTTTCAGCCTTTCAGAGAAAGCTTTGAATAAGAGTCTAAAAAAACTGTAAATTTCGGCATTTTAAAACTACCACTATTTTAACTCCACCAAAGAAAGTGAGAGCCCGTAGTGGACGTCCAGTCAACGGATGAGCTCTTTTTTTGTCTTGCTTGTTATATAGGAGCTGTTTAGGAAGAGAACAAGCCAAAATCACTGGTTTGCTTGGTATCCTAGGACCTGCTATCAGTAGTTTGTACTCGTATACACGTGATATTTACAGCCTTAGCTTAGACCTTGATACTCACAAACACCCTCTTTGGAAAATAAAAAATCACATTGCAGTCTTAATAATTTATGAAACCCATCTTTTCTTGCTATGCTAGAGGTTGTGACTAGAGGTTCCTCCAGTTGGAAAACATTAGCTGGACCCGGTTTTGTTTTACCTGGACAGCTCTTTAAATAAATTTGTATTTCATCTTAAGGCAAGGAGCTAAAACAAATTAACTGTCCTGGGTTGTGAAACAATATGAGGAGACAGCAAAGCTCCAAGTAGTGCCGCTTTTTATGTCCAAGATGAGGCAGCAGCCTTTTTTTACATGCATTTGCTTGATATTCCATCAGGACGCAACACATTGTCATCCATGAAGGTTATTGCCAATATGGTTGTATTATGTTGTCGCTGTGGATGTGGTCTGTCTGCTTAGGTGACAGGGTTGATGTGTTTCTTTGAAATGGGTCCCAGCCCTCTCAATCAATTTTTATTTTGTGTTTGTTTCTCCAGCTTGAGTTCTTTTTTTTTTTCTATTTATTGCAGAGAGCACATCTGTTGGACAACACAGAGAAGCTGGAAAGGTCATCACGGAGACTGGAGGCCGGCTACCAGATAGCGGTAGAAACTGGTACGTATTCTGTTATGAATTGGAAAAGGAGTGGGGCGGTGTTGGGTGGGGGGGTTCAAGATAGTGCTGAGGATGAGTGAGCGACAGCAAATTGTCTTGCTCATATGCGAGGTGGGTGGATGTGTGTGTGTGTGTGCGTGTGTTTTTGGAGGGTGGAAGGAGGGGAGTCGGTGGGGAAAAAAAACCTCTTTCCTTGACGCCTGATGACATTTTCGGGAGCACATCAAAGGTGAGCCAGGGAGGGAGTGAGAGAAGTGTACAGGCGACAGATCGGGCGCTGCTTCTCCTTGCTCTGCTCCTGAAGAAAATTCAAGCATCACTATGGCTCAGTGTATATGTGTTTGTGTGTGTGTGTGTTATGTATGCATGTGCATTTGGTGGGTGGTACTGTGCTTTTTTTTTTTTTTTTTTTTTTCCTCCACAAACAGATAGGGGGTCTATGAAAATAAACAATGTCAGCATTCCTCCTGAAGTTCTTAATTCAGGAGCGTACAAGAAAGAAAATAAAAACATCACTTTCTAAATAAATCCTCTTAAAAACACACAAACCTTTTTTTTCCCTCATTATCAAGGATGGTTTTAATCTTAAAATAGGAAAAAATCTCATTGGGATCTTAAATAGATTTAACCAGTTAGCATATTTCTTTTTCCCCCCCCTCCCTGTCTTCCTTCCTGACAGTCACCACATTATTGAGGCGCAGTGTATTCCTCAGAGATATATCAAAGCTCATTCTTGAAGTATCAACCAGCTTTCTGTGGCTTCCGTTGTAGTTTTGAAAAAGTTTGTCAATTTACACTATAATCGCGGGGCGGCTGGTGTGCGCGACATCGACAGATTTAATAATTCAAGTCAAGGCAGGTTTGCACGGAGACCACTGGCTTTTGATGTTCCCTGTAACTTGCATTCACAAATTCCTAAATACAATCTGCATTCTCTGCCTAAAAATGTTGATTCAAATTTCCGAGATGATTCTGACGTTATTAGAGTTTCTCGATGGTGTCGAATTCTGCAACAGCCGGCGGATTTTTGTTCCGCCCTGCCGCAGCTTTCACAGTGACTCGTTTTGATGTTTTGCCTCACAGCTTGGTTGTTGGTGAAGAAGTGTATGGTGACTTAGCAGTGTTGAGCACCTCCTGTGTCCAGCGGTTTCTTCCGCTGTAGTCAGCCACATGCCCCTTGACCCTGTGTCACCAGTGGCTGTCTCATCCACTGTGCGTGCAGCTAGCTAAGAACAATGCCCGTTTATCCTGCCTCGGTCCCACACACGTGGCTCGGTCCACACCAGCTGTGGGGTATGTTTGTGGTTTGGTGGGGAAGCTTCGCCCCATGTCTTTAATCCATGACCCCTTCCTTTACTCTGCTGTCGATACCAGCCCTCCGCTCAGATGCACAACCTGAAATGGCGATGTCTCCAGGTCAGCTAGAGAATACATCTAAATAAGGAACGTAGATCCACTCGGCATACGCAGCTCTCTACCAGACTAATCTGCCAAGCTCTCAAATTTAATAAAAAGTGTTGGCATGAACATTAGGAAGCCAGATTTATCTACTCTGTTAATACAGTTTGACAGAGTTCACCATCTGATCCAAAGTTCTTTTATTTCTTTTTTCTTTTGGATTGTTCTCCCGTTTCAAATGATATATTTTCTCTTGTTGTCCTACTGTGATGCATTACAACGCTTCCCAGACATCTTCATATTATCTTGCACTATTTAGTCCATACTCCTGCCAGATTAGTGAGTCACACAGTACACTAAGGAAACTGGATTTGTGTTGAACTTGGTTACTTTTACAGCCCACCAAAGATTTTGTTTATTGTTGTTTGTTCTTTTTTCACATCATCAAGTACAAAACAAAATAAATATCCAAGTCCTGCAAGTACTAGGCTTTATTCATGAGCGTTATGAAATGCCATTGGCAGTTGTTGTGGAATAAGCTTTGTGTTTTCAAATGCAGGTGCGGCATCCATGGATATTTAACAAGAATAATTAGAGCATTAAGTGTTTCTCCAATCAGACATTCTCTAGTCATACTGTAAATGCTACTCTTGTCACACATCTCAACTCTTCTTAGACATCTAAGCCCTACTTTTTTTTACCAAGAGCAGTTTAGCATCGTTATTTTGCAGTAATTCAAAGTTGCATTCTCCATCCACAATGACACAGTAGCCCTTAAGAACTACAATTGACCAATGGGGGAAGTGGAACTAAAAGACATTATATTTCAAAGAGATAGATCCTGAACAAAGAAATGGCGTAGAAACTCTTTGCCCCCTTTTCTCTTCACCGCCGACAATATCTCTCTTAATGACCAGGAACAAAAAAAAACAGGATGCTTCTAGGTCACATTTAAGGAGAAAAAAGAAGACTCTTAGTTCTAAGAAAAGATGAATCTTGACACAGTATCATTTTATCATAGATATTTTAGTTTTTTCTTCTTCTATTCTCAGTGTCTCTAGTGTATTTTGTGAAACAAAGGCTTGCCAAAAGCAGTGAGAGCCCTCAGAGGGATATAGAGGAGACTCTTTGGGCATGCAGAGCTATTTACCACACGCACCCTCAAGAAACAGGGTTCTCTGTTTGTCTCATAAATAAAGTATAGAACTTCATTAGTGAAGAGCACTGACTTGAAAGCCCAGGCATAGAGACATGCAGACATGGAGGCTAGCCCAGTTAAAGAGGGCAGTAAATAAAAAGGGAGGGCATGCAGTTAGCCAATTTAAAGACATTTGAGTCAGGGGCATTTGAAATGCCCAAACGTGGAGGCTTGTCAAATTTTGGAGATGTTGTTAAATCAAAGACATGCTGGATTTTAGTCCTTCCCGCCAAAGCTGAAGATATTTTGAATGATTCATGATGCTTGTTTAAGAATGAAAATAGCATGTTGTGCAACATATCCATGTTGCAATGATTTGTTGCCTTACCTTTCTATTCATTAAAGGTTAGAGACTGATTAGCAGTTTCTGAAAAGATATGACTCTATAAAACATATATATGTATATTTAAAAATACATTCCGCTTTACATAGTAAAATTTTAACTCTTAATTTAAAAACTGAAATATTAATTAGTGTTATCTCAGCAATTAAAATTATTTGATGGCGCTTTATTGCACTTTTGTGAGGATGTAAATAGTTTAAGGTTGAAATGTAGCCTTGTCATAGCAGAATTCATTTTGTTAGCATGTTTGTGTGTTGCAAAGGACCGCTAAGGCGAGCGATCTAGCGTAATTCTAAAGATAATTTTATAATAGATACATGTTTACTGTAAAAACAAACCAGAGGCAGTATTTAAAGTGTCCAGTTCAGTAAATCACAGATTAAATATTAAGGAAACTTACTTTGAAAATTCATCCCCCCTTATGCTTTTCACAAATACTTTAGCAATGCCAACAAAATGAGCCGCTGAAACAAAGACGAGCACAGACAAAAGCATTGCTGCTCTGCATTTTAAAGGTGGCCAGCAAGAGGCTGAGACACTTCTTCTTAGGTGAGTGTTCTTGGTGTTAGGAGCCTGTAATCAATCCTGCAAATGAAAACAGCTCATTAGGGATTGATTTCAGCCCCGTTTAGATAAGCAGAGAGGGTTGGGGTACGGCCCCCAGGGGCCCCAGCCTAGCCCAAAGTTCACGCCATGCCAGGTAGAGAGCAGCACTGCAGGCTATCAACTTTATTAGGATGGAGATAAGCTGATTAGACCTTGTCAATCAAAGGTGCCAGTGACTCAATCATGATCCAGGGGATTTTTCTTTCTTTCTCTCCCTTTTTGTCTCGCTTCCCACTCTCACACTCTCCCTCTCTTTTTTGTGATAAATCATTGAAGCGACCAACAAAGTGGCAGCCATCGCTGGGCTAAGCTAAGCAGCCCTGCAGTTGTCACCAAGGCAGACGTGTGAGGACCCTGTGATGATGTGACGACTATATTAAAGAGTACATCAATTTGTTTTAGAGCAGTTTGATTTTCAACTGCAGTGGTATTAAAAGAGGGGTGGGGGGGCAAAAGAGGGGAGGGTGAGCACGTCGGCGTCATCGAACAGGATTCCAGTGGCAGAGCAAGGGGTGCTGGGACAGCGAGAAATAAATAGATAAATGACGGAGTGACGAGAAATAAATAAATATGTTTTTGTAAACATTAAAAAAAAAATCTTCATGGCTCTCGTTTGAAGCAGAGTGTGGCTTTGAGTCTTGCTGAGAGTCCATGGGTGCTGGAGTGGCCCAGTAACACAACACACATTTGTCCCGACTCTCTATCTCTCCCTCTCCATCTTTGTCTCTTTCTCTGTGTCTCTCCCGCTCGCTTTATTTCTCCCTGTTCCCTGTAAAGATCAGACTCGATGATTCTTTTGGTGCTGGGCCACCAAAGCGTCGCCTCAAATCCATAAGCAAACACTTAACAAATGACTTAGCCGGTTACGTTTATGAACACCAGCTTTTATATTAAACAGAGGCTGTTGTTCTCCCTCAATACATTTTATTCAATTCTTTAACATTCAAAACATGCTGTTAATGTAGAATATTTTATTACATTTTTACTGATTTACACAAATAAAAATCCTACAAATAAATAGGTAATTAATCAGTATTTAAGTGGAATTAGTATTTTTGGAAATTGACAATTATTTTACAATTTTAATACATTTAAAGAGATTAGTTTGAAAATTAGGTTTGTTTGTTTTGCAAATGCAACCCAATTTTATACTTGATTTTTTTTGTATTAGTAAGTACTTTAATGATTTTTATATATATATATTTTTTAAAAAGCATAGTATATACACACATTAAATGCAATGTAAATCTTTTTCTTATTAGCATGTTGCTGAATCTTTTCTTACTTCTTATTTTAGTTTATTCTCTCTGTTCTGCAATGTAGTTTTAATATTTTAAGCATCTCTTTTTCATTTCTCTTTTTAAAAGGACACTTTGCTAAAGTGGATTTCCTTGAGGTATAGCATAGTAGATCACTTTTTTTGTAGGCCGATACAATCGGCATGTTGTATTGTGT